TATATATATATATATATATATATATATATATATATATATATATATATATATATATGTGTGTGTGTATATATATATATATATATATATACACACACACACATAAATACATACACACAATGGAATACTGCTCAGCCATAAAAAATAATAAAATAACGCCATTTGCAGCAGCAACACAGATGGACCTGGAGATCGTCGTTCTAAGTGAAGCCAGAAAGAAGAAAAAAATACCGTATGATATCACTTATATGCAGAATCTAAAAGTAAAGGACACAAATGAACTACTTACTATTTATAACTTAGATAATTGATTTCTTGAATATGTGTAAGCACATTTGACTGTCCTTTATGACTGGATTATCACATTCTGTTGATTCTTATTTTGTGGTTGGCTTTATTCCTTTGATAACTATGTAAGTTTAAAAACCTAAAGCTCTAAACTGCTCTTAGAAACAATGAACAGTACATATATGTAAATTTTAAAATGATTTTATCTCTCAGTGAGTTGCTCCTCCTCGGAAAAACTTTACCAAAAAAGAAAAAGCACATTAAAAAAATTCTGACATAATGAACTAATGCTGAAGAAAGAAAATTCTTCTAAAAAAAAAATCACTGCTAGCCATTCACCTCAACTTTCTCCATTCCCTACTTCCTTGATTGCATGGGACAGTGACCTCCAGACTCAGCTGTGCTGTCTTATTCCAGATGAAGGGAGAAGCGGGAAGTACGCTGCACAGTGAGAAGCCAAAGCAGGTAAATGCCAGCACCCAACCCACCACACTGGTGAGAACGCAGCAGTGTCCCCACATCTGCACTTGCAGCATTACTGACATCTCCCACGAGGTTTAGGGATAGTGATCCCATCAGTGATGTGCTTGTTTCAGTAGCTGAGCAGAATCACTTGACTCCAAGCTGCCTTAAAACCAAAGCCTCTTTGCCTGCAGGAAATTGCCGGAAAAGCCCCATAGCTGTCCTACCACAGTCTCTGGCCGTAGAAAACCCCACACTTCAGGCGTGGAACCACTTCTTTCTACAGCTGCTCAGGGAAAAAGGCCCACTGGGGGTTGGGAACCATCTGTTGACTCCAGATAAGTTCTGTGCTGCTGCTCCTGCACCTCACAGAGTCCTCTGTCCTGTCTGCTCCCTGCACTAGGGCTGCTGCAGAGAGAAAACAGCACAGTGCCCGGAAACAGATCTAATCCTAGACATGGAACTGATGTTTTAAATTTGACTTAGCTTGATTTGATTAAACTCAAATGAAAAGTTCCTAGTGGCTGGAAAAGCTCATGAAAAGCATCCTGTGAATCCTTAAAAAAAGAATAATTGGGAAAGCCCAAGGGTGATCTTTCAATGGCCTGTATGAAAGAACAAGTTTTTCTGGTCCTGGCAGTCCAGCCCTCAAGGGAGGAGAGAGACTCTGGGGAGAGATACTGAGAGCAAGAGAGACTAGGAGAGAGAGGAGGTCCTTTTCAGAGCTCAGGACCCTGAGGAGTACTAGGCCTTCAAAAACCTTTTCACTGATCATACAAAATGACTTACTATCTTCTTTTTGGTCTGTAGATCAAAAGTTGGGTGGGGTAAGCTAAGAAGAGATGATTCCGGGCAGATTTAGGTTGCTCTGAATGGGTCAACCAAAACAATGTGCTCCTTCAGACCTCCGAAGCCTGGATTAAAATGTCGGGTCCTGTTAGGTCAGCTTCCCCCACAGCAGTGCCCAGGCCCGGTTCACTAACTGCAGATGAGCGGCAGGCACAGACCTACAGGGACCACCACCTCCAGTTCACTCTCATGAAGAACACAAGCAGGCTCCATCCAGCCTTAGAACCATAGGATGTAACGGACATCTGTCATTCCTGTCCACGGTACTACAGAAATTGGTGACATACCTGGTTTTTCTTCTCCAAATCTGGGACCTTTTTGTTTGACCACTGAGCTCGCAATGATGGCTGCTGTAGGCATTTGGAGGAGATCGTACAAGGACATCCCAGTGATTGCTGGGAGTCTGTTCGTTGCCCCTAGAACCACTCACCATCATGTTCACCTGGCAGCCTGGTCTAATCTACTAGAAAGCAGAGGAGTAATTACAAGTCAGAAGATGTGTTTATTCACTCTTCTCATCAGGGGCAAAAGAGGTGATAGGGTGGGAAAACAGGCCTGGCCCATGAACACAGTGAAGTTCCCGTGTCCTCATCAGGGATTCAGCAGGTCCTTCTGTGATGGCCGTCTTAGCCTTGCCTGCCCACTGGAATTAGCTGGGGAGCTTTAAAAAATAGGGAGGCCCAGGTCCCACCCCAGACACTCTTATGTAATTGCTTGGGGGAGGAGCCTGGACCTAGGGAGTTCTAAAAAGCTCTGAGGTGATTCCAATGTGTAGATAATCAGCACCTCCGTTCAACAAGAGGACTGGTGCTGAAATCCCATGGCTCTTGGAAGGATCGCCTGTCCTCCTCTGGGTGACAAAATTATCTGCTAGTTTCTCTGAGTCAAGTTTGCTCTCTCCTCTGCCCCAACCTTGAGCTCTCATTATCACACACACCCACACAGCCTCGGAGATCCTGATAAGGAAGAGGCTCCCATAGAAGCTGGGACAGGTCAACATGTGCACCGCATGGGTGTGACTAACATCCTGATATCACAACCCTCCTGCCAGGCCTCAGCAGGGAGCTGCATGTATAGGCAGGAGGCTTGTTGGGGCCTGTCACTCTCTTGTCCTCCCCCAGGAGGGACACCTCTGGGGCTCCATGAGAAGGACGGCTTTCATCCTGGGCTCTGGCCTTCTCCTGCTTGTGGCTCTCTGGAACTCGGTCACATGGTGAGTCTGCTCCACCAGCTCTAACTCAGGACCTGGGGGCCAGGGGGTCATGATCTGGGGGCAGGGCATGGATTAAGGAGCTGTCTACTCACCAGTCTTCACCCAGAAACTTGAATGAGTTTTCTTCCAAGGCATATTCAGAGATTCTGGGGTGCTTCTGGCTGCTTTTGGCAAGCCCAGTGGGAGAGGCTGCTGTCTACATGCGAAGGGCAGGAGTGGATCCTCTACATTCTCGGTGAGATTCCCAGGCCACCAGCGCTGAGGTTTGGGTACATGGTTATAGCTAAATCCTTTTTCTATTGTTTTGTTCTTTACTTCAGGACTTCTCAGTGTATTATTCCAAGGAATGAGGACTTAACGTTTAGAACAGTGGGAACCCCAAAGAATGCTAAACTTGTGGGCAATCTGGAATGTGTGTCTAAGTAAAGAAGTTGAAATCCTCTCCTTCCCCCAAATAGAAAAATAAAGAAATAGTTGGTGTGAGAATGAATGCATGTGTAGAGCAGTAATTACGCTTGTAGATGCGCCAGGGCCACAAGTGCCGAGGACTGCTCTGTCTCACGTGGCTTTACGTCCTTGGAACTGGTGCAGTCTAGCTCTTGGGGCTCAACAGCAAATGCTCACTCAGTATTACTGACAGTGCCAAATAAGTATTGACAGTCAAAACAAGTCTAGGAAAGCACAGAGGAAGAAAAAAGCCTATTGTAACACAGAAATTTATAACAGCATCATCTACACTGGTGACACTGTCCTCACACATTCATTCACTCAAATAATATTTATTAAGGTTACTCTGTGCCAAACTCATAAGGAGGGTATAGATATATTTACAATAAAGTCTTAAGGTATAGTGTCTATCCTGTTAAAAAAAATTATGTCACAGTCCTGCTGGAAGAAAATAAACAAACACACACACACAGAGAACAATCAAAAAAACCTATGTCCAGTCCAGTCCAGAAGGGGAGATTTTAAAAAAAGTGTCAGCTGTCACAAAGCAAAAGTATAAGTAAAATCTTTCTGTCCAGTGTTTTTAGCTAGAAGGAGAACTTTGAAAATGGGCTGAATATGAAATATGGCAGGTAATGGAGTCTTAAGTTCTCATTGGAAAGAACAATGCAGATTGTAAACGTATGTGGGGAAAGTGGTGGGAAAACCCTTCATGCGTCTCTTACAACAATGGGAAAACTACCTATCACCTCAGTGATAAGCAAATACCAGAGACAGAAAATATTTGCAATTTGAGACGTTAGAGCTGGAAAGTGTCCAGGATCACCTCTGGTGACTTGCATTCTGTACTCCTCAAGGAGCCCTTGGATTGACAGGTAGGCGGACACCTCAGGGATGGCCTGCTAGGCAACCACCAACTAACATTTTTTTTCCCCAAATAAAATCGTTTCTTACTTCTGAGGATAAAAGTAAATACATGACCATTGTTACAAGTAAAAGTCAGACAATTCAGATAAGCATAAAGAAGGTTAAGGTCACCCATCCTTCCATAGCCAAGAAGAAGGCCTCTATTCATCTATCAGTATAAATCTCCTACATACTGGATATATGGCTGAACTTAAAAGACACTATCTTTTGACTGGTTTTTTTCCCACTGATTAGGCTATGGACATTTTTCCGTATCAGCTGATAAATACTTAATATTGTAAGCTGCCCTGTCTATTCCACTCTATGGAAATACCCTAATCAATTTCGTCCATTCTCTACTAACGGACATTTAGGTTACTTAAATGTTCTGTGGGGTTTTTTTAAATGCTAAGATGGACATTGGTGTGTTTGAATGCATGTGTCCTTTTTTTCTTCCTCCCTGTTTTTCTGTCTTTGACTCTCTGTCTCGCTCGCGTTCTCACTTCAGACACTGCCAAATTGCCTTCCAGAGTACATGTGCTCATCACATTTCCCCAGATTGCTAGCCAAGTATTTTTCAGGTATCAGCTGCAACAGGCAGGAGGGGCACAAGAGGAGGGATACAGAGACAGACCGTTAAGTAAGACACCCTTGCTCCTTGGGATATTAAATTTAGAGGTGGAGGCAAAGCACAGAAAAATAAAGTCGATACTACAAGAGTTAGATCACTGTAAGGTCACTAGAATGACTGCCTTTTGGGGTGGACACAGTGCTTATTTATTCACAGTCAGAGACTAGAGATACTTGGGATGACTTCATGGAAATGCAGGATGTGGAGCAAAAGGCCATATCCAAATTTTAAGTGTTGATCAGCATTTTCTAAAATATACTGCAGAACATGAGCACCGTGGGATGTTAATAGGTGGAATGGCCATATGATTTATCATCCAAATGGGCATTTGCAAGGGTGAAAAAGGGGTTTTAATAACAATGCTGGAATGTCGGATGTAAATTGAAACTGTCCTGGGCAAATAGGGACATGTGGCCATCCTATCCTGAGACGTTTTGAGAAAACAGTTCTGGGTAAAGAATAGCTTGGGAAAGGCTGAGTTTAACAAAGTCAAACGGGAGTTCCCAGAGCCGTTACCACAGTGGTCCGGACACTGACTCTCCAAGAGGGTAGGGTATGAAGACTTTTCCAGGAGCCCCTTGAGAGATGGGTTTTCCCGTTCAGGAAGTACTGACAGGACATGTGAAGCCCCTCCGCTCATTTCGTAAGGTAACGGGGGTTAGGCGAGCCCTACACACTAAGCTCTTCCTTTGCTTCCTTGTTCCTCAGCAATTCATGAAGGGCTCACAGGGCAGACTCCCAAATGTCAACCTCAATTCACTTTATCTACAGTGTGTCATATATCTCAGCATAAATCTTGTATTGTTTTTGTCTCCAACCACCTAGAAGGCTGTTGTCCCCATTTTACAGCTAAGAAAAGAAACAGAGACACTCCTTAAGTGACCTGTCCCAGTTCCCACAGCTAGTTTGTCACCCCAAGATAACGGCAGGACCCCTGGCCCTAAGCATGAAAATCTCCCTGGCAGGGGACCGTCTACAACACAGCCTCAGTCACCACCAAGCACATGTTCAGGTAATACACTCACGGCCAGAACCTGAGAGTGCCCTGATGGTTTCCTTCTGTTTCCCAACCTTAGGTGCCATCCAGGTGCCCTTTCTGGTCTACTGGAGCTTCAGTGGGCTTTTCCTGGTGGTTGACACAACGGGAAAGCCTAACTTCATCTCCCGCTATCGAATTCAGGTCGGCAAGAATGAACCTGTAAGTGTTGCTGGGCTTCTCTGGTCAAAGCACAGAAAACAAGAGCTAAAGGCACTCCCTCAGCATTCTCCCTGCTGGCCCAGGAGAGCCCATGGCCATTGGGAGCCAAGTGATCCCGTATAAGGCTCCTCCAATTTAGAAAGTTCGAGAGAGGATATTCTACTCCCCAAATCCCAGAGCAGCCAGTCAAGACTAAAGTTCTGGTCTTCTGACTCCTGGCCCTGGCTCTCGAACTTGCTTGTGCAGCCTCAAGGCACTGCAGTCAGCACTTTAGGAACAGAAACGATTGTCTCAACCTGGCACTGGGCCGAGTCCCGGAGATGTCAGGCAGCTCTCCACATGTCCACAGGAGCAGGGACAGCGGTGGCGAGAAGCTGAAACTGTGGGAAACAGCCGCCCTTGTGAGGGAGGGAGACAGCTCCTAAAACAATGCAGCCCACTATTAATAGAAGGAGAGGATGAATTCTGAATGTGTGGGTGGTGGTGGTTTTCTAAGCAGATCTCCCCTCCCAGTTAGTCAGTTCAACCACCAGTGCATAGTTTATCCACAATAAACAAGGCCTGCACCCTGCTGACAAGGAACTCCTGGCCCAAAGCAAAGAGAAGGCCAGCCACACACATCTCCGACTTACATCTGGGCCTGGGAAGTGAGCCCCCACTGCCCACTGCTCCCTGAGCCTGGCTTGGTGCTCTGACAACCCCCGGGAGCCTTTTATTACACAACAAGGAAGTTGATTCTTAAACCCGGTTGTTTTATTCAAGCATCACCCAAACCATATCCTGGCTTTTTTCCCAGAGGAGCCAGTCATCTTTTACATCTTTTAACAACTGGCCTGGGTACCTAAGTGAGTCACCTCAGCTCAGGGAATTCTGCTCAGCCCAGAACTCTTGAAAAGCAGAGTGGCTGAAAAATAGTGCCCTTGACCCAAGCTTTCTGAACAGTCCCTTCCTGAAGCAGGGCTGCTGGCCTGGGTCACAGTTCCCCTCACTTAGGACAAAGCTGCCAGCCAGCCAGGGAGCTTCCTCCTGAACCAGCTTAAGCCGAAGGGTCAAAGCCAGTGCTTAGCCCTTGAGAACTTCTCACCTGCCAGATCACGGCAGTCTCCTTACCAGGCACCAATGACTAAACGCTTACAACCTCAAGGCCAAGTACTGTAATAACCTTCATCGTTCAGATCGGGAAATGGAGGCCATGAGATGACATGGGTTAGAAACATGATTTCCCCTCAAGCTGACTCCAGGGCTTCTGCTCTGAACCACCAGGCCACAACCAGCTCTCAAGACAATCACCTAACACGGGAACACTTCACAGGCTACAAGGAAGGGAGGGCCACACAGGGAAGGTCTCACTGCATTTTGTAGACGCCGAGGTTCAGAAAGGTACAGTGACGTGTTTAAAGTCAGACTGTTGCTAGGAAACAAAGTCAGGGCTCGTCTCATCTGACTCCAGGTCCAGTGCTCCTGCACTGTGTGCTCCCTCAGCTGGTTACACAAGTAAGAAGGGACCCCCGGAGGCCATTTAGTCTTTGACCCATTCCAGGAAGGCCTGACGCCTGACCTGAGACATCAGAAGCAGATCCTCAAGTGGGGCCGGTATGCTGCGGCATTCCTACGATCCGCCGCTGCTCTGTTCAGTCTCCCACTCTCCTGGAAAGGAGAGCTAGTTCACTCCTCCTCCCTCCTCACATCCCCAACCCCTCCTGCCTTCCCCTCCTCCCAGAGGACCGCCTTACCTCCTACTTCACTAAGGAAATGGAAGCAGACAGAGGAGACGCCCACAGCTGCGCACACACCAGCCTGTGGGCAGCACCTGCATACACATGCTCTGCCTGCCCACCTGGTCTAAACAGGTGGCCTCTGCCAGCTCCCATCCACAGCCTGCTCCGCCACTCTCTACGCTACACCCATCACCTCTTGTTCACGCCAGGAAATTGCTCCAGCAATTCTTCCTTCTCTTTCTTGTATCCTTTTCTTTGGACTCTTCTGGATTATTCCTCTCGGGCTTATTACCAACATGCTATAATTTTCCCCATCTTAAAACCACACCAAAAAGAACCCCTTGCCTCCATCCCCCATATTCACTACTGCTCATATTTTGGCTCCCCTTGGCAGCAGAGCTCTTTCGAAGAGTTGTGAATACAGTTTCCAGTTACTCTCTGTCCACTCTTTTTCCTAAAATTTTGTGATGACGAAAACCTGTAAAGATATATTAAAAAGTTGAAAATTGGGACACTGATAACCCATTTACATATCACCTAGATTCACCAATCTGAAACATTTTATAATATTTGTTTTCTCTATATATAAAAATATAAATATCTATGCATCTGTAGTTTTTTCTTAATCATTTAAAACTAATTTCCAGACATCATAAAACTTCATCTAAATCCTTCAGCCTGCATCTCCTCAAATAATCACAAAACCATCGTCTCGCCTCCTCCACAGACCTCCTCCAGTCAGGCCTGCACCTCCACTGCTCCACCAGAATTGTTCTGGGCAAGGTCACCAGGGATCTGGTTGCCAGCTTGTCTCATTACACCTACCAGGAGTGTTTTCACAGGTGCTCAACCCCAACCCTTGTTAAAGCTTCTTACACTGACTTCCAAGGCCCCAGTCTCTCCTCCCACCTGACTGTTCACTCCTTCAAAGTCTCCTTTCAGGTTCCTCCTCAACCTCCTCCGTCCTCTTCTCTGTCCTCATCCCTTCATTTACTTCTTCAAGTGTCATGACTTTAAATACCACCTAAATGCCCACAGCTCTAGCGCAGAACTCCTTCCTGAATCCCAGGCTCAAATATCCAGGTGCCTCTTTGATGGATGCCAGTGGACATCTCCCATCCAATGTGTCCCGAGGAGAATTTCTGTCCTCCCACCTGCCAAAGCCTTTGCTACCCACAGCTTCCCCAGTCAGAGCTGGGGAGCCACTCGGGCCAAAAGCCTTGGAGTCGCCCTTGACTGCTCTCTTTCCCTCACACTCCACATCCAATCCATCAGGAAACCGATTTCCAAAAGAGAGCCAGAATCAATCATGTCTTACTACGTCCATTGCTACCTCCCTGGTCTGAGACATCCTCTCTTGTCTGTATTTTTGCAATTCTCCTTGGTCTCCTTGTTTCTATTCTTGTTTCCCTACGGTCTACTCTCAACACAGCAGCCAAGATAATCCTGTAAGATCTTGTCCCTTCTCTGCTCACAACGTTGGAATGACCCCCATTTCCCTTGGAGTAAAAGCCAAGGTCCTCAAAGTGGCCTGCAGGCCCCTTTATGCACTGGCTCCTCCCCACCTCTTTGATCTCACCTTCTACTTCTCCACCCTCACACCTCACTCCTCTCCAGCCATGTATGCCAGAAATGTGCCTGTCTTAGAGCATTTTCCACCAGCTCTTCCCTTCCCTAAAAAGTCTTCCCCCAGATCTCCGTTTCCCTTACCTTCTGCACCTATTTGTTCATATCTCACCATCTCAATGAAGCCTACCCTGCCCATTCTACTGAGTAGAAACTCAGTGAGGGCAGGAATCTTTGGTTCATTGCTCCCTTGCTGGTACATAGAACACTGCCTAAAACGTAGAGGGCACTCAGTAAATATATCCCCTGGATGAATGAATTAATAAACATATGGGACATCTTCCTCTCAGTCCCAGTTTCCAGAAGAGGTGCGTGGTTTCCTTTACAGGTGCCCTCCAACCAGGCTGGCCAGACCTGGCTTCACTATGGGATGGAACTGAAGGCTTAGAGAGTGAATTCTGGTCACTCAATACATGCAGTGCCTGGAGAAGCTGGAGGAAGAGGAAGGCCTGAAGTCTGAGGATCACTCTAAACCTGGCCTCACCCTAGGGGCAGCAACCCTCCACCTTGCAGAATTTCATAGGAATAAATCCCTTTTGACAATCCCAAACCAGTTCATCAGGACCCAAGAAGTGACCTATGGTCACAGGGCTATGTATTCCCAGGAGTTCTGGTGCTCTGACAAAGGGCTCAGGGGGTTTCTGGTTCCTGTGGAAATGCTGGCTATAGTACTGAGGCTGGATGGGGTATGAGCATGTGAGGCCAGCTCCCCACAGTGACCTTGAGGAGAATGTCCAGGCAGGCCCCCATCCTGACAGCTCCACCCTTGAGAACCAGAAAGACCTGGTCACAGGAAGTTGGTCAAGAGGCCAGATAGGAGCTCCCTGGCTCACATCCTTCTTTGTTCTGGGCCTGGTCCAGTGCGATTGGACCACAGGAGGAGGCAAATAACCTTGACCTCTGCACCTGATGGTGCTCAAGGCTCTCTGGATGAGGAGGGTCTAAAAGGCTGACTGAGGAATCCAAGAACCCAAGAGGCTCCCCAAGATGCCTGTCGGGAATACATGAGGTCAGGCCTGGCCAGAGAAGCGGGGAGGACAGTGGTAGAAGCTACAGAAGCCTGAAGAAGGCTGACTCAGGCAGAGACTAAGGCTGCGGGAGGGGAGTTGCCAAAGGCAGGGCATTGCCAGATGGTTCCTCCCCTGGGCTGGGCAGCAGTCAGGGGCTGCTGGCCACGGCCAGACATCACTCCTAGCATCCACCCAAGTGAGGACCTCCCGAAAGTGGGTCACAGAGGAGCCTAGTTCCTAGAAGGGAAGGACCTGCTTCTCACACTCTCGTGCATCTCTGTTCTTCATTCCATCCCTTGGGCAGGTGGACCCCGAGAAACTACACCGGGCTGTCCGCACAGTTCTCTTCAACCAGTTCGTGATCTCCTTACCAATAACAGCCTTCCTCTATCCCATCCTCAAGTTACGGGGAGACCCCTGCCGCCGAGAGCTACCCACCTTCCACTGGTTCCTCCTGGAGCTGGCAGTCTTCACGCTGATTGAGGAAGTCCTGTTCTACTACTCACACCGGTGAGTGAGTTGCTGCCTGAGCACAGCTGGCTCCTCGCTCTCATGGGTTCATTCATCAAGGAGAGAGGAGACCTCCAAGTGTAGGGGCAGGACCAACAGCACCAGGCCTCAAAAGCCTCCCGTTACCTAGTTAACACGGAAATAACTATTTCTTCCTCAGCTGACAACTTGGGACCGCTGATGGGTGTCCAGAATCTCCATCCATGTGTGCAGCAGGGCAGTTTCCCATTCATTTCCTCATTGAATCCTTTCTGACCATTATCCCCAATTTGCAGCTCATACAACTGAGGTAGAGAGAGGCGTCACCCACCTCAAATTATGCACCATAAGAACTCAAAGGCAGATCTGTCTGAGTGCCAATCCACTGTGATTTCAACTTTGCCCTGTGGATGTAACCTCTCCTTCCTGCCTTTGGTTTCTCATGGTCTGGTTGGGGAGGGAAATGGGGGGCTGGAAGATTATTAACTGTTACCTATTTTCCCAGGCTCCTTCACCACCCAACACTCTACAAGAATATCCACAAGAAACATCATGAGTGGACAGCTCCCATTGGCATCACCTCTCTCTATGCTCACCCTATCGAGCATGTGGTGAGTAGACATTTGCTCCCCCCAGAGGAAAGAGCAGAGGCCTCAGCCCCCTTCCCTAAGCTTCCTGCACAGAATTAGACTACACCGGCTCTTTCTTCCTACAGCCACTGTTTCTTGTGGACCTGGCATATGCCCAACATAAGTTGTATCGCTTAATCCTCCCAACAACCCTTTAAATCCTCATTTTGCTAATGAGGAAGTTGATGCTCAAACAGTTCATAACTTGTCCCAACTTACAAAGCTGAGGGACTCCAGCAAATCAAGCTCCAGAAACTCATCCAGCTTCCCCAGATCTAAGTCAAAAAAGTTTACCTGGTACCACCCCACGGTGAAGTAGACACCAGCCTGGGTCCCCTCCGTCTTCTGGGCTCCACCTTCAAACAGCCTTCTCCTTGCAGGTCTCCAACATGCTGCCGGCGATGGTGGGTCCAGTAGTGATGGGTTCCCACTTGTCCTCCATCACCATCTGGTTTTCCTTGGCCCTGACCATCACTACCATCTCCCACTGTGGCTACCACCTACCCTTCCTGCCTTCACCTGAATTCCATGACTACCACCATCTCAAGTAAGGCACCCCTTGCCAGTGTGGGTCCCTGGGCAGCAACCTCCACCTTCACTCTTGGAAATTCCCATAGCAGACACTGGTGTCTCTGTTTAAACATGGGTCTAGTGGAGGGAGAGGTCTGGAACGACCACACTGGAACCCAGACGACCTTTCCCTTTTCTTTTTTTCTGACACTGGATTTTCCTGCAACTATGAGTTTTTACCTGTATTTAGGGCCTTGAGCCTTTGAGTATCTCGTGTAAGCTATGGACACTGCCAGAAAAAGTGCACACATGCACAAATTCTTGTGTGCACTCCAAGGGGAGCTGTGTGCTCTCTGGAAGCCTACAGTTTTTGTCGTGAGGTTTAGGAACCTCCGGCCCCAGAATCACCTGAGACATTTTTTTCGGATGCAGGCTCTTGGGTTCCACTTTGAATTGAAGCAGCAGGGGCAGCAGGGCCTGGGAAGTGCATTTTTTGAAGTGCACCAGGGGATTGTGATGGAGGCGACCCAAAAACCTACCTGAGCAAAAGATGGGCTCGGCCACAGGTCCTGACTTATGTGCCTCAAAATCACAGAAGAGAGCTGTTCAAAGGAAGACTGTAGATTCTGCATCCTGGAGCGGCCCCAGGAGTGTGTGCACAATGCCCAGGTTACTCTGAAGCACGTGGTCAACATGGTGGGGACGGGTAGGGGGTAGGAGGGCTGAGAAATGGGTGTGAGGCTGGTACAGATGAACGGAGATCAGCAAGCTGGTCTCCAGCACTCTCCTCTCTCCTCCAGGTTCAACCAGTGCTACGGGGTGCTGGGGGTGCTGGACCAGCTCCACGGGACTGATGCCGTGTTTAAGCAGACCAGGGCCTATGAGAGACACACGATCTTGCTGGGCTTCACCCCACTCTCACAGAGCATTCCTGACTCCCCAAAGACAGAGTAAGAAGCGGCCCGAGGGCCATCCTGGCTGCCCCTCAGCAGAGGACGGCTAAGGTGGCCTGAGCCCTTCTGGTCACACCTAACAACTTGCTCCTTCAGCCACACGCTGTAACGGCGACCCCTGAAGGGCAGGGGGGAGGTCAGTCCTGGAAAAGCAGGGCCAACGATGGAGCCAGGGCTCCACCAACTGCCCCTGTTATTCCTCAAGGGGATGGGAGAGTAGATTAAGGAAAGAAAAAAAAAGTTCCCCAAAAGGGAGGCCAGTCACAGGGAAGAAACCACTTTGATTGGGTTCTGGGTAAGTCCTCCTGGTCCTCTGTTGTGGAAAGGGAGAGGGACCCCAGATGACACCTTTGTGGCCTAGACAAGACAGAGTGACAAGGGTGGCAGCAAGACAGGAAGCTGCGTGGCTCCAGAGAGCTCTTCCTGGTGCTGGGGTAACCTAAGACGCTGCTTTGCCCCTTCCTGTCCCCAAAAGCCTCTCAGTCCGTTCAGGCCAGGGCCTGGACACCCCAGCAGCAGTTCTGCAGTCAAGTCCCCACTGTCCCCCAGCACACACACACACGTAGTAAGTATATCAAAAGCCCCACTTCAAATGGACATCATCCCTCTGAGAAGAAAGATACCAATCCCAGGAGTCCCTCCCGGGGTTACACCGGAGATACCAAAGAGGCGCAGTCCAGAGCCCAGTACCTTCAGCTACACACGGAAACCAGAGGCCGAAGCCCGCGGCCCTGCTAAGCTGGGTCCCCTTTACCCAGAGTTGCTGACCCTTGGGGACATCCAACTGAGGCCCCTTATTAGTCTCTGAAGGACCAAAAGGGCTAGAACCCTCTTCCTCCATGAAGTCAATAAATACATGGCTGAATGAAGGGCAAAATCCTCATTTCCCTCAAATGATGAAACCATTGTTTCAGCACCATTTTTATAGGATGCATTTAGCAATGATGCCTTTTCAGATGAAACCTCACCATCTACAACAAAACCAGAGCTGCCTAGGTTGAAGCAGTCCCGACCCTGGGTTCCCAAGAACAATTTGAAGACCACTCTGACCGGAAAGACCACTATTATCAGTTCCTAAAGCCTGATGCATTTCTGAACTTTCAGATCGCCTCCATCCAGAAAACCACCCACTGTAGTTTCATAAAATACTTTAACATCTGATAGGGCTGAGTCTCCAGGCAGATCTGACAAAAAGGACCTCTCCCTACCCAGTAGGCCAACCCGGCGGGTACCAGGTCACGCTCTCCTCCGCCCCTTCCCGGGACAGCACGGGTCCTTAGCTTCAGTACAGCTCCTGGCCCATCAGTGCTGTAAGTGCCCACAGCTGAGGCCTGCACCCACAACCTGTTCCTACAAATAAACAATTGGAAAACAGCCCATCTTCAGTGAATGGAGCAAGGGTGGGCTACGTGGAGTGTGGACAAAGAGGCGGAATGGATACATTTCTCCCTTTAAGGACTTTAGACCTGGAGGTGCCGTCAGGGCACAGAGGGATGAGGGGCGGTGTTCTCTTACCCTTTTTCTTGGGCAGGTGGTTGGGCCTGGCCCTGAAGTTGTTTCCAAATGGGCTCAAGCAAAGGCTGAGATCTCAACACTCTCAGCAGGAAATGTGAATGTGCAAGAAGGCATAAGTAAACTGATCTCCTTTTAATTCCAACGGTGACTCCAGTTTTTCTCTCCACTCCGACGCTCGTTCTGGCACTCACACCACAGGGTGTCCAGGAGCCACCACAATGTGGTCAAACACTGGACCTCTCTCCTTGGGTCCCTAACAGGCTGGGGAAGTGAGGTTGAGCTCACTGTCTTCCCCTTCTAGACTTTCCTCTGGCCCCTGGTGGCCACTGGTAGTGTGAAAGTTCCTGCTCACCTGATACAAGGTGGAATCATCCGGCAAATGCTCTGGATGCTCAACTACCAAGGCTGGGGGACAGCTGTCAGTTGAATGAAGAAATAAGGCTCACTTTAAGTTTACAATGACACACCTGGACCATTCTAGCATTCAGAATGTTACCACTGCCAACGCCTGGCCTCACAGGCTGAGAAAAAGCCACCAATGGGCCAGGGGCCAGTCACGGTGGGGGTGCTCATTGTGAAGGATCCCAGGGCTCCGTGGCCAACCTGGATTACATTAAGGCTGGAGCGTCTGTCACTCATTCACACCCTGCAGGGAAATGTGTTTGAGGAGGTATCACAACAACTTCTTTCTTCCTGGCTGTTTCCAGACAATGCCAGGGCACAGAGTCCTGGAATTCTGTCTGCTGGACTGGTGTCTATTATGCGGCACTGCCCACAGCTCCCACGTCTCGCTGGAGAGAAGGCGGCATGGATTCAAGGCTGGCAAACTCTCAAGACCACAGAGGAACTTGCCTGGAACCATCAGCAGCCTTAGAAGCTGGGCAGGATCTCCAGCCTCAGATGGACTCCCCAACAGCCAGTGCCAGAGCCTCGTAAAGGTTTCACCAGCCCATCCCGAGTGCATGTTCCTCTGGATCTGGTGTCGGAACCCTAACCAGGTTCCATCCCTCACTCCCAAAAGCCGTACCCAAGATGGGAGACCAGCCAGCCTGTTGCCTTTTCAAGTTTTTATTTTTATACATTTTTTTGTATTAAAAAGAAAAGCATAATTACCACAAATTACAAAGGACTAAAGCAGGACTAGAATAATGAATGAATCACTTCAGCCTGGAAAGCAGATACTCAATAATATTAATGTTATAATACAAGCTCATTCAAGTATTTTACAGTTTTTTTTGTCCTTTTAAAATGTGATATCCTAGCACATGGTAAAGATAACGTATTATGAGCATAAGGTGGAACCTTCTCCGCAAAGCCAGATGACAGGTTTTCCTCTCCAGTCAGAAACGGGCTGTACCTTCTGATCTTCTCTGCCTCTGCCAGTAACATGGCTGAAGGGCGGGGGGGG